TACGTGTGAGGAACGCCACCTTGTACATTGCCTATATATTCTTGTTGTGCTACCACGCTAATCGTGCTCTTTCATACGGCGCCTTGCAGAGATAAGCAACGACGTTGCTGGGACCGCCACAAACATAACGAGCCAAATCTGGCTGTCCGCTTGATGATGCTAGTTGTTATTACTGCGAAACGTCGTACTCTTGATTGTAAATATTGTGGACTTGCTCTCCAACACACCGGTGTGCTGTACTAGTAACGAATTGGCATGTTCTGTTTACGTGACAAACCTTACTAATTGGCTGTGTCGGGTGGTGGCGGGTTTAATGACAGATTTATATATTTACGCGTTCTTCGGCCGTCGAACGGCGCCGGCCGCGAGCCCGTTCTGATCACTCGAGTGCCGCTGCTCAGTGGTTGTTGACGGGCTGGCAGCAGGTGACCATACGCGTTCTCGTCGTGGATATTCCGCTCCCCAGTCGCAAGTGGTACCGTCGTCTTCCGCTTGTGTGTGGGTGGATGATGACGATGAGCGCTTTCGGCTGCGCGACGGATGGCCGCTGCGGTTCTCCGGTTTCCTCCCACAGCTAAAAACTTGTCGTGTAATTGGTGTTGGCCAAACATCCCCGATGCAGGAACCTCCTGAAATAGCGTGTGTGCCTAGTCTGTTTGGCTTTCGCGCGCTAAATAATGCACTTGTATTTTTGTAGCTGTCCAGAGGTGACGTCGTAGATAGCATGCTCGACCTGTGGTTGTGGGGTTGACCTGCCGCTCCTGTTGGAGTATCCGCGGGCTATCTTGCTGGGTCAGCGCGCCCCGAGCGTATTGGCGCGATATATCCCCCTCGACGTTGTTTGCCGTGATTATGCCGAGTGGCGTTGTCGACATTTAAATATCGACCGCCCCCCCCTCTCCGCCCCCCCTCCGCTCTTGAACGTTGCTATGGTTCGCTGCGCTTGCTAGATGAAGTCTGTTGCAAAGGAGACGTCACGGCGTGCGTGAAGTGAAGTCGCCTATGCATACTCTGCACTCTCTATTAAAACTTTTTATTTTACCAGGTATGGCCCACTGAGCTTTATAGATCTTTTTTAGAAGCGACCTGGCCACACATGATAAGTCAACGAAGTGGATTATCGTCACGTGGACATTTTATAGCATCCAAATGCTCTCAACGCATGCCGATTCTAAATGTGGAGCGAAAAACCAGAGGACCACGCGAACGGCATAGAAACTCCAAATCTACAGTAGCAGGCGTCAGGGTCAGGATCGAACCCACGACCTCCTGTATACCAGGCGGGGTAGTTAACATCTCACCATCGTGGCACCCTATATGGTTGGTTACGTACGGTGCGAAATAAGTTCTACGCACGTACATTACGAATGCAGCTTGTGAACGTCCGTGTTGGAGAGACGAGGCGCAGTGGGTAACACGTCTGCCTTCGCAAGACTGGGTTCGATTCCCGACACGGGCGCCTCTGTGTGTGCATGCGTGTGTGCTCTCTCCTCCCCCTCAACTTCCTGCCATAGATAAAAAGTATATACAGGAATATCTCGATGTGCGTGTATTCGATAAACGAAGTTTCGGCGTAATGAAATTTGAACTTTGGATGTTTTTGTTTCCATTATTTTTCACAGCCAAAAAATAAAGTTAAGGAATAAATACCCTCGAATAAATAATGTGTTTGTCCATCTCCTGTTCTCTATAAATAAGAATAATATTACGTTTCTGCACTGTTTAATTAACGCCAGTTTTATTTATTTATGTTAATCCCAAAGCTGAAAAATTACCTGCAGATTTACTCAATTGGGATCGCACGCAGCAGCAACAACATCGTCCCCTGCTGCAAGAAACTTGGCAGGACCCCCCCACCCCACCCCCCAGAAAAGGAGCCTTGGGACTTTGTGAGGGTTTCCTGGTCAAACAAGTGGAATCGTCACGATATAAACAATAACAACAACATGCCTTGGCAGTTTGCAAGATCAAATGGGGATCGTCGTCTTTGTCCCCGCACGTGTGTCATAAATATTAAGCCTTCAGATGAGTGTGGGGCAGCTCTTGAGCGAGTGGTGGGAATTCCACATTACTACGACAATAAGCCAAGAATGTGTCCCGCGTGTAACGTCACTTCACATAAGGCCCACCCACCCCCCCGTGTGACGTCACTGCAACAGCGCCCCCCCCCCCCGTCATTAATACTCATGAGCAGGTGGATTTTTGCACTCCCGCAGAAGGTCGAGCGGAAATACATATTTTCATGCAAATTTGGTTTAAATTTGACGTTGTTTTATTGCAACAGTTAATCAAATTACTACTATATATTGTACATAATGACCGATTCTTATCGATGAATACATTTATAATTTACACGCCTCCTTCATAATGAATATAAGAATGCAAGCACACAGATGCCACGGTGTCTAGGCGATGTTAACTACCTCGCTTGGTATACAGGAGATCGTGGGTTTGAGCCCGACCCTGACGAGTTTGCATGTTCTCCCAGTGGTGGCGTGGCTTATTAAACAGCTAAAGTTGACTTGGAATTTTGTTTAAAAGAAGGTTCTTTCTCTGGAGGTGCCGGTGGGACCGAGTCCCCGGGCGTAATGGTACACACTTCGTAAATATAGCCTCGATGTCCGCTAATAAAGGCCCTCTCGTAAAAGCATTTCCCGTGGCCAGCATCTACAAGTCCCCGAACCTGTTTGTCCGCTCCGAGGAACGGAGAGTCACTGCGACGCGTGCTCGCGATGGGGCCCTTGTTTGTTATTCCGAGTTTCATTCCTCCTGAAGCAGGAAGTGAGGAATAAAAACTCTCTTGCAATGGCGACGCGGAGAGAGCAAGAGGGAGAGAGGGAGAGAGAAGGGGAGAGAGCGAGAGTAGAGAGCGACCCCTCGTTTGCGGCCTCACAAGGGGTTGTTAAACACCGCCAGGGCGTAAAATCGTTACTCCCCACAGGCATCTCGCAATTAGCTCGGACGCCCGCGATCCCCACGGGGTAACTCCGGCGACTGGGCGAAGGCGGACGTGGGTTGGGGGAGGCGGGGGAAGCCTCTTACCGTCTTGTTTAGCCACCGTGCTCCCCTGCCTTGCTCATTAGCACGGAGAGGGCGGTGGGGGGGGGGTTGCTGACATTGCCCCAGATGGGGGGGGGGGGGGCCTCTTTATTCGGAGCCAAGCGGTGTCGCGTGCTTGTCACCACGACCGCCGTTTATGTCACCGTATCGGGGGGGCCCGTGTTGCTGTCTTTTTGTTTACTCGCTCACTCGATATAAACAAACCAAAAAGCATTTAGGCGCATGTACTTTTACGCGATTTCATTACCCCTAAATCTTAAGCTGCGGCTGCAAGTTTCATTAACCATCGATTTGGGGCGAGCGCTTGCTTGCCCCGAGGTCGTGCTTTGGTGGCCGCAGATGTCACGTGTGGGTGGGTGGGGGGAGAGGGCCTTGCGACGAAGTCTGCCGTGGAAATTTCCTTCCGCTCCGCCGAAGCCAAGGCAGAAGGGACGGTGGCGGGGTCTGCTTCTGGGAAAGGAGCCGACCTCGGCTTGAATTGAAATGACAAATTACCGCTATTATAACCGAAAGTGACAAATTGCAAATACGTAATTTTAACGTGAGATAATGAATATCAATGAATTTTTGCCACGAGCATGTGTGATTAATGCAGACTTTGCCTTGCAAAGGGTATCAATTTTCGTGTTTGAACATCTTAACACCTGTTTCATTGCCAGAAAGGGTAAAACCTATTCTTATAAATTTCCATCACTTTATGAAGTTATTGCTTTTAATGTAGAGCTGCGTCTGGGTCGAGTGGGACCAACGGCGCGCAACGTCTAGAAAGCCTCGTTCAGTTGGGACAGTTGGTTACGTGCGGCGCGAAAGAAGTTCAACGCACGTACATGCGACGGCCTTGACTGAAGCCAGGATCTCAGCGGCGTCGTCCAAAGTGATAAGGACAGAAAAAGAACGTTGGTGCGTCCTCGGGTTGTGAGATTTTTTTTTTCGCTCGCGCACACGTGTGTTTGAGGAGTTTTAAACACGTCCATTCTTTTTTACACAACTTAATCCCGCTTCTGCCGAAAATGTAAACAGTTGGTGCAATTTGCGTGTCGGCCGCGTTCTGGGCGCTGCTTATTGGAATTCAAGTTGCACTTAACAAAGGGGTTTTACAACAATTTGGCGTCAAAAGTATCAACATCCTGACAAACTTTCAAATGGGGGGCTAAGATCAATAAAATAAAGATGGAGCTTTGGATCTTCATTTGAAAGGAATGAATGCGCCTCGAGGCAAAGAATGATCGACTGCCACGTCGAATAAAAGCCGATGTTTCCTCCCGGCGCTCGCAGACATGCCGTACCGCTTCCCACGCAGAGCCTCACTCTTTCCATGACAACCGAACTTATCCATGTCCAGGGCCTTGCCTCGGAGATGAGACCGAGAGCCCAAGATGTATTATTGAGTCAGGATGTTTCGAGAGGTATCAAAACAACGTTTCCTGAAGGAGACGTGAAAATCTTGCTCGGGAAGCTGCGTGGAGCAATTTTATGCTCCTGACACTTGGTCTGGAATCCAGCAGCAGAGTCCTCGGGTTTTTTTTTTAAGCCAAGTTCGTTGATAGCACTGCGTGCGTGCTGAGACTCGTACAGTCAAGGCTCGGGTAGGCGCTGTAAGGGCTGGGGGGGGGGGTAGGGAACCCGGCCGACGTTACTCTCGTGCGAGATGACGTTTTGTGGCAATGTCATGACCCCAAATCGCAGATATGAAATGTTTCCTTGGGGGTGCAGCGGTTTGGTGTCCATCAGCGCCGGCGCCTTCTCGACTGCCTGACCCTGCCCCCCCCCCCCACACTTCCCTCCCCCCCCCGTTCTCAACTCCGGATTGGCGGGAGTTGAGAAGGATGTGAAAGGCGCTCGCGCGTGTGAAAATGCACTGCTTAAGACTGACTGGGGATGAAAAAACATGGACCGTAATTAAACCCGTCCCTGCGCGCGTGCCCTCCCTGTCTCCGCAGATGTTCTCTCCGCCGGTGAACTCGGGGAAGACTCGCCCAACCACCCTTGCGAGCAGCCAGTTCGCCGGAGCGGGTAGGTTCTCGCGTGCGTGACGGCGTTGTTTCCAAAACGCCTCGTCTGCGTGAGAGAGTAACCGCGTGTAATATACGTTTGGTATTCATGCCATCCTTACGTGGTCACGGTTATCACGAAGGAAGGTGCTGCGTCACATAGACACGGTCTGCAGTTTGTTCCGCATTCGGGGCGTTGTCGCTCCGCGTAATCCCATTTTTTAGTTCACTTTGCAGCGTAGTTTTTAGAATTCGGCTAAATTTAGGAACACGACGGCGGCGACGGCACGCATATGGAGCCGCTCTTTTCTAATGCCGTCGCGGGGTCATTCACGTCCACCGCGAAGCAGATGGCACTTATTCCCCGGTTTGTTGTCCTTCCCTCGCACCACCGATTCACACAGTTGGCTATGTACGGTGCGAAAGAAGTTCAACATACGCACATATATATACACAATACACCCGCAGTAATAACTGGGGCCGCCTGCCGGATCCGAACCACGAGCCTCTGCTACAAGCGGTGAATGTGCTGCTGCTGCTGCTGCTGCCTCTAGGCCACGTGTGCTCCCACCAATGCTGGCGACGGTTCCGTGCGTTGACTTTTCTGTGCTTTGAGGTTCCTGCCAGGGTTGCAACGACAACAAAAATGCATCGAAATGGGAAAAACACTCCCGTTGACGGCAGAGTGCATCTTTTCGCATTCGGTTATGGTCACCAAGGGTTGCGGGACGCTATGTGATAGCGTAATAATTTTGAGTTCCGTTATAAAAAAAAAATCTAGGTGAACGTTTTCAATTGTAAAGGAAGACCTCTCAAGTTTGATACTTGAAAAGCCATATCATGGCAATGTATACAAATCAAGAGGCAAAAATTCAGCTCTTTACGTGCGTGTATGTAACTGGTTATGCAAAGTAGGGAGCTGTAGTGCAGCCTTTAGCACGCCGGGGTACGAACCCCGCTCTCGGCCAACACCGGTGACGATTATCAGAACCGCTACAGGAGCATTTCAGCCTCAAATGAGTACCTGGTGTGATGTGTAAACATCGCTGCTCGGTAGACTTAGGCTGTCGTACAATTAACTCGTTGCTACTCAGCCAGGTGCACGCGTACGCGCGAACATACAAGCACAAGGCGTACGCACAAATGTACAAGCGCGCGCACGCAAATGTATAAATACGCGTACTCGCAAACGTATAAGCGGATACACGCACAAATGTACAAGTAAACGTACGCACAAATGTACAAGCGTACGCGCAAACGTACAAGCGGACACATACGCGCAAGCATTCAAATGGTCTCTCTTCTCATGTCGGTTCACACGTACATCACTGTGATACTACAACAGTTGCTCCTACACGCTAATAACACACACACAACAGCTCGCGCACCGTTGACACGCACACCTAATACTGCGGGTTGGGCGGGTGTTGTCAGTGAGCGGCCATAACTTGGCGAGAGGCGGGGTGCGGTGGTTGAAACGCTCCCGTGATCTCGGCCGCCCTTGTCTTCAACCCCTGGCCACGTACACACCCCGCTGGCTTTTCTGAGGGCCGTGTAGCTCAGCGGTGGCTCGGCCCCAGGCGTTGAGCCGCTCGGTCGCTTCCTATAGACGCAAGGAGCCGCTCAGCCGTGGCTCTCGGCTCGGGGGTGATCCTGAGCACGGCGGGGATCGTGCTCGGAGCTGGCTCGGCGAATGCACGGCTTTGGGCCGAGCCGTTCATAAGAATACGGGCCTGGATCTTCCCCAGGTCCCTCCTCTCACAGGGTCAGCTCGGCACGAAAAACCGGACACCTGGCGTTGTGCCAACACCAGCAATGGGGAAATAAAGTTGGCCTTAATAGGTGCTCGCTAACAATCACATACCACAATCAAATCTGTCCGTCGGAAAAATTGTCAGAGCCGCACAGAAAACGCCCATATGGCGCAATGAAGCGTTGGACAATATCGGAGCGCGCGGGTCCATTACAAGTGGAATCTGTCCCCACCCTCCAGCGTGTGCATACTTTCCCGCTCCGAACACAAACAAAGCCCGCATAGCCGGGGCCCCGGCGGCCCATCTGCTGAAGCAAACGTCCAGCGCTTGAATAAACGCGACGTAGATCACTGTCTTTTCTGCGTGCCGCAGCTCGACACATGGCACGTCCGAGATGCGCGCGCGTGTCCCAGATGAGTGTGTGTCCCAGATGAGTGTGTGTGCGTGTGTCCCAGATGCGTGTGTGTGGGCGTGTGTCCGAGATGCATGTGTGTGCGCGTGTGTCTGAGATGTGTGCGAGTGTCCGAGATGTGTGTGTGTGTCCCAGATGAGTGTGTGCGCGTGTGTCCGAGATGTGTGTGTGTGTGTGCGAGTGTCCGAGATGCGTGTGTGTGTGTGCGCGTGTGTCCGAAATGTGTGTGTGTGTGTGCGTGTGTCCGAAATGTGTGTGTGTGTGCGAGTGTCCGAAATGCGTGTGTGTGCGCGTGTGTCCGAGATGTTTGTGTGTGTGTGTGTGTGTGCGAGTGTCCGAGATGTGTGTGTGTGTGTGCGTGTGTGCGCGTGTCCGAGATGTGTGTGTGTGTGCGAGTGTCCGAGATGCGCGTACGCTGTGCTTACGTCGTGGTCGTTTTACGTGAAACAAAGGGAGGGGTGCAATTGTCGTCCCTGTTATCCGTCGGTATGCAAGGAAAAGACGAGGTTGCATTGGGCACTCCCCTAAGGTCCTAGGCTAGTAGGAGGAGACAAGGTAAAGTTTTTTTTTTTACCAGCGTCTTACGATATTATTTCGTTCCTGCCTCCGTCAGTTGCCCATCTTTTGGGGTAAAGCTGCACGGTGCCCCCTTTGACCCCCCCTACTCCACCCTGGTGGATTGATGTCACCATGGTGAAGCCCTCCGTTACTAAAGGGCAGTTACGGGAGGATCCAGCCCGTTGGACTGGTGCACGATGGATCCGGGACGCACACTGTCCGCTCTCTACCCCTGTCCCCAGGTGCTTGCCTTTGTTAACATCGAGTCTGATTAACGCAGAGGATATTGTGAATGCACTCGTGGGGTGCCCCATTGATATTCACCAGCCATAAATAACTTTTCTTTATGGACCTTCCCCAAAAACTCACGTGCTTCCAATGAAAAACCATTTTGACTGCAGTTTTTTGGCAGGAGGCTTACTCGCAGATTTCCCATCACCCTGCCCCCCTCCCACCCACCCTCCCACCTACCCCTGCATGCTCCTCTCCCCAACAGCGCGCGTTGCCTACCTATCGTATGATTTTCGAAAATGTGCGCGCCGGCCACGCGCCAGGATCTCGTATTTGGTAGAGTCGTGGAAAAGCTACCGCCGAGGCCCCGAGAATCAGAATTTCGACTTCGATTCTTGTTTCCCATACCGGGGGGGGGGGGGGGGGGGGGGCAGCGGGAAGGCCGTCGTAGACAACGGTTTGGTTACCAGGAAAGGTTCTCGTTAGCGGGGTGGACCGCGAGAGAAGGCCTTCCGTCGGCCGCCCACAAATTCTCAAATCATTCGCATCGACTGCCACGTTCCTGAGCTTTCCGATGGCGTTTGGACATCTCGACACAACACCTGTTTCATTGCCAGAAAGGTTAACACCTCTTCTTATTTTTCTTCATTGCAACCGTTTGAGCGGCTGCACAGGAATAGTTCTGCGGACAAACACGCAACGGATTAGCTGCCCTTCTCTGCAGATTTCCAGATTTTCATGGCCACATTTGCTTTTTGGGGAAGAAAATAATTCTATCTATGTTCCGAGTTATAGTTCCGTTTAATGCACGTTGAGGATTGTTTTCACACGGTTTCTGATAACACCTATCGCTCGAATTCATTGCATTCATTTATTGTGAGGTTTTGTGAAATTAATTGACGATTACAGCCGTGCTAATTTATTTAAACACATGCCCTTTCATCTCAAAACGTGCAATCATGAGCCAGCGATCACAAACAGACTGCAATCAAGTCAGGAGACGGGATGTTACATACGTAGCCAACCGCTTCAATCGGAGGCGCGGGAAACAAACTAAACGCACAAAAAGCAGTTCTAAAGGATGAGTTGTCAATCTAGATAATTAAATGAGCTTCCAGTTTAGGATGGCCTCTGTGTGCGCCCCACAATCACCGTTGGTCACCCCACGATAGCCGGGCACGACGCGGGCGCGTAACAACGCTCCCCCCGGCGTGAAAAACGAGGGGGGGGGGGCGAAATAGGGAACGGGTTCGAAAATTGCAGCCGTCGGAATCGCGGTCGCCCATCGGAATGAATTACGCGACTTCTTCTGTCTCCCCGCTCTAATTAGGGGCTCTTGTGCGGTAAATTACTCTCGGTGCACGCAATTCGCACGCACGCGGAGCGCCGTCGGGGATAATGTTCTTTGCCGAATTGCCTCCTAATTCACTATTTATCTAATCTGGTGCTGACAAAGTAGAGACATGCTGATTAGAGGAATTGTGTTATGCGCACCGTGTACATACAATGCGCTATTGGGGTGTTAGTATGTTTGTGTGTGTGTGTGCGCGCGCGGGAATGTGGGGAGCGGTAGTGCAGCGCGAAGAACCCGGCGCCCCGAGTTCGAATCCCGCTCACAGCCAACACCAGTGAGGATTAAATAAATACAATTACAATTCCTTATAAAGGAAACAAATACCAATGAATAACAATTGCATGATTACCAATCTATATAATTACAATACCCTCCCCCTCTTTGCCTCGAATCACTGCACCAGATTGAATTAAATGATGACGTCACCCTGCTGCTGCTCTTTTTAAGACCGGAGCAACAGGAGAGCTTCAACATTCTTGCCCGATGAAGCTGATTGTAATTACCAGCGAAACGTCGTACTACTCAACATTTTTAAATGCTGTTGATTCTCTCTTCAACACACCGGTGGGCTAAAGAAGTGAATTATTTTGTCCTTTGAAAAACGTGACACATTTCTTACCGTTTGCCCGTGTCGGGTGGTGGAGGGTTACGACACATTTATAAATAACGCGATCTGACCCATAAACCTATATTATGAAATATCTTGATTTGAA